ACAGATTCGTGACAAGAAGGGAAACGTTTGAAACTAAAATGGAAAGAGGAACAAGGTAGTTTTAATGCGCGTACTGTCTCTCTCACAGCCCAGTGAGCTAATCAAAAGCATCAAACATTCCACCTACCAAAAGCACCTTTTAGGCAAAGTTGGGTCTAGATACGAGACAACAAAACAAGGACTTTCTAAATTGTACTTTAGCCTTCTTGGGTTTTTCGTCTTTCGGCTCTATCCCGCTTGTCTTATTTTCTGGAAATGATGAGTTCTGGTCTCGTTATTAGCGCCAGAACTCGGAGCTGGCCGTGTACACAAAAACATGGCGAGCATTTGATCAACAGCGAGGGGGAAAATCGATACTCCGAAGCCCTGATTTCTTTAGTCCTCAGCCCAAATCTCATCTGTGGAATTCAATGTTCCTCAAACGAGTTTATCCTTGCGACAAAACAACGACCAATCCACCCGTAAACCACGTTTTACCAACATCTGTGGTGGAACCTTGGTAGCTGGGAGCCATGCTACACTACTAAAACACAAAAGGATCTTAAACGATACAGATACATATAGGATAGGTTGGGATTCATTTATACTAATTGGAACCATTATTGAGATATGACAAATTTTTTGTATTTCATTATCTTAAAAGCAAAGCGAGCTGAGCTACGAAATTCGGTCAAAGCGATCATATTTTCATTTGCTGTTCAATTCATTCCACGTCTTTCATTTGCCTTGTTTGAGCATAAGCACACATATCAATAGATGAATATTCAGCTCCCAGCTTCAAAGGGTTTTTTATTAGCTTAATATTATAAATCAAATTTGAACAAAAACATGACAGCGAGCGTTGATTTCAGAACACACTCCCATCGATAATAACGGCGGAGATGACGTCAACCGATACTTATAAGTGCATGGGAATAGGGAGAGCAACAGCTATAAATTATCATAGCCATTTCAAAATGTAACATTATTTTAATCTGGCAATAAAAAATGACAAGAAATTTCGACTAAGTCATTAAAGTCTCAACCCTCAGATAAAGTCGAAAGCAACGCTGTGGCAACAGGTGGACTTTTCACGGCCGACATTAGTAACTTCCAAGCGCTTCTACACCAAGTATAAACACTTTATGGCTACCTCCAAATTCATGACAAACCGAAGCTCCAGTTTTGGAACCGAACCAAATGAGAAACAAGTCTCACTAATGCGGGCATACATTAAAGAGATGCAAAGGGTACCAGATGTTCCCAGTATCAAATTGCCAATATTTCACTACAGCACTCGAGTGTATCGTAAGTACTTGTTTCGCAGTACCTCTGGCAGCACACTGCTACTTGATGGGCAAATTAAACAGAAATGACTTATCGGTCTGTGTGCGGACACGCGAGTAGCATGTTAGCAAGGCAGTGAAGATTCAACGACTACAACAGAAAGCTAAAAGTAACTTCAAAACAGCATTCCGCAACAAGGACAAGGCAGATGAGTGGTGTCTGAGCCCCTTTTCCGTTTCCAATTCTCAAAATTTAAAAAGCTCCTGGGTATCTGGTTTCGAAAGATGCATTTAAAAAGGCTATAAGAATTAAAATTCGGATCATAAAAAGAAAAACAAAATAACTTCCGGAAACCAACGGTTCCATCCATAAAATCTTGTCCCCAAGAAATTCAAGTGCCCTTATTTCTTAATTTGTTTTCGTTTAAGTTTAACAATCACCAAGACGTAGAAAATGGGATCAGGGGTAGAAAGCCAATCGCCAGTACCCCAGCAGTTGGGGCAAAACTAATTGAGGGATTACCCCATGTGAACATATGTGCTTTCAAGTTCATCTGTGACATTTACTTTAACGTAACGTCTCTGCCTCTATTAACATTTGTTTTTGTTTTTCTGTCGACTTTTCTATAGTCTCCCGTGTCATATGTTCAACGTTTGACGTGTGTTAAGAATGGCGCCACGGTCATACAAAAATAGGTCACGTCAACAGAGGATGGCCCTGAACCCACACCCTCCTCAGGGCGGTCGAGTCCGTAATAACAAATACGATACAAGGCATCGTTTTTAAGGTAAGAGCTTTATAAAACGTGTCCTAATAGGAAATACGCGACTCCGCCTAAAAGGTTCAGACAAAACCAGATATAAAAAGTGGGCATACAGTGGGGTTTGGATTTTTTTCCTACTGACACAATTAAAAGAACTTAGGAGGCGGGCAGTTTGAAGCTTCCAGTCAGGCCCAGAGCAGGCTGAGTGAGACACAGCATCCAGCCTAAAGACACAGATACTCGATTTAAAAAATATCCCCACATGGGAATCAAATCACATCCTAAGCGTGCAACGGCATCTTCGTCTATCCAGTCAGTGGCGCCAGTCGTTACAACCGTGAACACAGCGATACAAATTAAGTGTGTGATACAAACAGGCATGCATGGTACAGGACTATGTTTATCCCAGCTTTTGACAAAATATTGTATCGATATTCATGAGGCGGTGGCCTTGGGACAACATAAATTTCCGACAAGACCGTGCCAGGTTGGTGAAGGACCATTTTGCTTTTAAATGTGGGTGTTTCACGCCCCTGTCGACATAATACAGATCATTAGGAGGCACACTTCAACCCTGCCTGGCAGGGCCAACTCAGGTTGAGAGAGATACACGTTCCAGCAAATAGACTGAGATGCTCGATAAAAGTTCTCCCCACACATTAATCAAACTCGGGTCTCCTACTTGCCTCGGCCAAACAGCTAACCAACCCACAGCATGCGCCGCCGGAGAGGAACTATTAAAATTCTACAATAAACCAAACTTCATAAATATCCGTCTGAAATTCAAGCAGCTTTGTCTACAATGCTATCCATCATGAGACCAACTGAACAAAAGACCAGCCCTACCACAAAATAAAGATCATAATGGATGACTCAGGCAGCCAATAATACTGAAAGAAAAATATTTTTTTAATACTCAACCGAAAAATGCAGGAAAACCAGAACCTCTATTCTCAGGGGTTAAACAATCCACGAATTGTGGATCACCCAAAAGAAATGAAACGCATCAACAAAAGAAAACCACCAGCCTCCGGTTAATCTCGCTAATGTGGTCTTCAGAGATAAGACTTCGGATGATGCCGTCTATTTTGGCTCGTGACAGCTTGGCTGTAATCAACGCTATTAGAGAAAACACGAGATGGAAGCCACAAAGGGAAAGATATAAACCAGACTGCTAAATAAATAGCCTGTGTGGTGGCCTAAAATGTCCTTTATTTTATTTGCACGGAAAATTATTACAATAAAAATAGAACATGAAACGCCAAACTAAACACAATGTATCGATTAGAACCCCTTTCTTAGACCACTGTTGATGCTGTTATTATCATTGTTATAATTGTTGTTGTTGTTTGGTTTTGTTTTTTCATTATCACATCATCATAATTACTATTATTACTATCATAACATTATCACTGTCATTATTTATTTAT